GATCTTAACAGTCATGTCTGGCCTTTAGATCTGAGACAGTCCTGAAGAAATTATTCGCCTGTTTCAAATGTACATCAAGTGAGTAAAAGTAATATTTCCAACTGAATTTAGTTTTTATGACACTCTGTGATTACTTTAGAAATAAAAATTTATTGTCTGGTCTTGCACTAGTAAAATATTTGGAAGGCCTTGAGAGCACTGTAACAACAAACAGAGCATTCACAATTCCCCTGATGGGCTGATTTTACTAATAGCACACATTTGGTGAAAATAACCTCCGATGTACCAGCAAGATTGCAGACGACAACATTAGTGCACCTGCAGGTTTTAATTGGTGCAAAAAAGGGGAGAATATGAGGTACCAATTACTCTCTTGAAGCCCGAGAATCAAGGATGTTTTTGGCAAGGAGGCTTGTAATTCCAACATAAAATTGCACACAGCATGGAATAAACAGGGCCTGCATTATTTATCATGCATTAGACAATTTTTGACTTGTAAAACTCTGTGAAGGCTGAATGAGAGAGGTGAATCTTTAACACTTGACCTACTGCAAAGTTAATTATAAGTAATATGTCTGTGTTGCAGATTTAAGGATGTACAAGCGCTAGTGAAACATTGTAATTAAATACCAGCTCCCAATCCAGGGAGTGATCTAAATATGGCAATAATTGAGCAGTTAAAAACTACGCATTGATGAGAAAATGATTATTACATGCTGGAGAATTTCACTGGTAATTCTAATCGTCTAAAATGAGCTGCACAAAATTCTGCTAATCTTTAACTTAAAGTCCCCAGCAAGAGAAGAGCAGTCAGTTGGTGGGTTGGAGCCAAATGCAGTTGACATTTCTTGCTTTATTCTAATAAATAGCTTTCAGAAAAAGCTGTGAATGACATCGTAGAGACTCCTAAGAACTTAATAGTTTCAGAATGTCATTCATAGATATTGAGAGTATCGGGCCATCTTGTTGAGGGAAAAAGACTCACACTGGTAAGTCCTTTTTGTTAACATTTGTCTTAAATGCAACGAATGCCAAGATTTTCAGTCTGTGGGAATGAGGTGAGACTTTTCAACGAGAACTCCAGTTCCTCACACAGAAGAAGTTTGTATGACACTTCAAAATAGGGGGAACAGCAGGACCTCCATCATTTGTAGTTTTGGATGAATGGAAGCAAACTTTGTACTTTGTGCCCATCACCGTTTCCTACTTGCTTGCTGTGGTGGGAAGCAGCCCGGCTGAAGGCCAGGCTGGGGGCTTGCCAGCGTACCTGGTGGATGTGAGCAGTTCAGCAGCCTGTGGTTGGCTTTGGTAAAATGTTACTAAAAGTCTTTTTACCAGCTCTTTGAGCCATGTTTCACCCTTACGAGTGTAGCACCTGGCTTTTACTGTGTGATGTAAACAAGAGCCTATTAGTGAAAGGAAAGTTTAGGAAAACAAAATGGGAAGGGGGGAAAGTATCCCACATTTATTGCAAGGGCTGAAGTACTCTGCGTGTGCTTGTTTTACCATAGACTCATTATCCTTCTTCCTGTAGCCTGCTGTACTGTATGTGTTCCTCTCTGCTGTCTGGTTGTGAGGGCCCTGCTGGGCCAGTGTGGATAAATCACTCCCAATGTTTCTTTTCAGCAATGGTGATGTTATCTGGGGTTAAGCTGGGGGGAGGCAGATAGGGCCTCCATCTCTTCATCCCTTCTGACATTTCTGTGAAAGAACCGCATGTACCGAATGCTCTTGTGGCTTGAGTGCTTGATCTCCTCCAAGGATGCATTCAGCTTGCTAGTGAGACAGGAGTGTCACTGCTCTCAGGTTGTAGAAACAAGAAGGTTCTGGGCTGGCTGAACGAGCATCAGGCAGGCTTTGCCTTCAGCCCCTGATGAGTAAGTGGCCTCTGCAGCTCTGGAAAAATTCAAGCATAGCACCTGAATCTTTACAACTGACACAAAATGGAACTGCATATAAAAGGTACTTATGTGGTGGTGGTGGCCATCCTTCCTGCATCACAGCTGTGGTAAGAGATCAGACATGTGATGTAGGCAAACTGTTCAGCCTGAGCAACTTTAGGGCCAAGTTTTAACAGCGGCATTGTACATTGTGAAACATATCATCAGTGCTGGAGCTGACTTAAAAGCAGTGAAAATTGCCGTTGCTTTTCATTCAGAGCCCAAAACTGCCCAACAGGTGGGGTTCCTGGGGTATCACAGGTACCTCCATCTTGCAACTCTGAAGCACCTCATGTGTGAGGTTAAGTATCAAGCTGCTTAGGTCTGTCAGGAATAAAAGTATGACTTAAAGCCTTTGTGTATCTGTAGGCACTGGTGCTGAGAATAGCATTCTTAGGGACTCAGGTGCCTTTTGGTGCTATGCAGAGCTGTTCTGAGCGGCTTACTGCTGAAATTAGGCCTTGTGTAAAGGTTAGGTACCTATTTCTTAGTTTTGTGTGCATCAGAGCTTTAAATGTGTCTTCTGTCATGTACAGAGTAATCGGGTCTATCTCTACCTCATGCACACATGGGGGGAAGCCTAAGATGTGCTTAATCAATGCAACCTCATACCTAGTTCCAGGTTTTATTTCTAACCATTATGTCTGGTTATTCTGTAGGATTGGCCCATATTTAAAAACACCACATATAGCAGTAGTCTTATTAATAACAGCAGACTGTCTTCAAAATTATGGAGAAATGTAATGTGGGAGAGTTTATGCTGTCATCTTTATTTTTTTGTCTTTGTTACTGTTGTTAATGGTCACTCGAGGTTTTTTTTTTTAACCCACTATGCTACAATAACAACTTTAAGGCAAAATAAAAACTGTGTAAGACATGGCTATGAAAAGGAACTAATTTTTGAATCTTACATTGACTCCTGCTCTGTCCGGCTTGTGCACTCTGCCTCAACAGCGGAATCAGGACATGCCTTTTCTGGCAGCCACCCTGTGCAGGAGGAGGCTGGGCTTCATGGCATGCTGCTGTCCCCAAGGAGTTGTGCTCCAGGGGCTGGTGGCTTGAGCTAAGTCAGGAACTGTGAGGCAGCTGCATTATCTTAGGGTGCAGTACCAGAGGCCACGGAGATGGTAGAGTCTCTTAGAGAAGCTGTGGTGCTGGGGGAAGGTGGTGTTGCTGGGACTTGGTCCATGCTAAGCAGATACAGCGGCTTGCTGCTGGAAGGATTTGTGCAACTGTTTCCCAGCCTGGTTTAGCATGCTTGAGTTGGAGACACAGAATAATTTAGGTTGGTTGGGACCACTGGAGTTACTTATTTTTGATGGAAATTAATTCAAACTTAAGTTAAAGATGTGAAAAATTGGAGGCCTAAGTAAGGCTAACTGAATATGGGAAAGTTTTTAGTGCTTTTCATGGCTGCCTGTTTGCCCTGCCTCCACGCAAGGCAGGGTTTAGGAAGACAAAGCAGTGATGGTTTATCTTAGTAGACTGCCATGCAAAAGCCCCCAAGACAGAAATGGAACTGGTGGCTGTTGGTAAGAGCCCTCCACCTACCTGTATAACCTCCATGCTTTATCTGTAATGAAGCACTTCATGAGCAGAGTGGTGGGAGGAGAGGTATGATCTGCCAGAAGTGGTCAGAAGGGAGCAGCTGCATTAAATTTCCTCTTCCACATCACACCTGGATGCTGGAGGAGACATTAGTAGGACCTAAGCTGCACTGATGACTGTGTGTTTCAAGGGCTGTACATGAATACTCTGCTTTTGCCCTTGCAAGCATGAGCAGAATTTTGCCTAGGTTGTGCTGAGCTTTATAAATAATCAATTCATCAGGATCTGAAGTGAAAGAAAAACAACAGATTTCTCAATTTCATAATGCAGAAAGCAAGTGAAAACAAAGAAAACCCAAAAACTGCTGCCACACAAAATATATTTGGATCATTTTATTTTCACTAGGTGTTACTTAGTTCTACTACTTATAATCTTAAGTGTGGCACAGTAGGAAGCTCAGAATGCAACTGTGTATTGCCTAACAGTAATGAGACTTAGCTACAGCATCTCTTGTTAAATCTTTCTTGTTAATTGGGACAAGACAGCCTGGCTGCACATCATCGTGTTGAGAATTAGAAACAATCTATGGTAGTTACAGTAAAGAGGAACAGCAAGACACCAATAGCTGCAATTTTTTTAATTAAAAAAAAAAAAAAAAAAAAGATGTGTGTTTAGATGCTATAGTAGAGGAAGGATTTGTTGTAGCCTTTTGGCTTCCGAAGTAGTCATGCATTCCTGTAAATCGGTGTTTCTCAAACTTTGTGAAAGCGTGGCCTCCCTTTTTGCATCATCTTTTTGCAACTATTACATTGGCAGCAGCTCAGTTTCTCTGGGGAGGGAAATCAGAATGCTTTGTAATTACTGGCTACAGGTGTTTATGGACACTGAGCTGTGTCCAGCAATTAAAGGCATTTAGCTGTTTCCTTCCTAACACAAACACTTCCACAATAATTACAGCCTGCTTTGCACTTTCCTGTCCTTGAGGAGGATTCCCCTGGGTCCTTTTGCAACTCCCAAGGGGGCTGTTGCCTGGGATTTGAGAAACACTGCTGTAAACCAAACAGGAGCACGAGATAATACCTAAGAGCAGGTGTTTAATGCAAAGCTGCTTTCTTTGCAAATAAGGTGCACCATATGCTTTGAAGGCTTTCCATGCACTGGATACTTTCTTTTCTCACACTTGACTTTTGTTAACCTGTGTAGCATGGCTCATTCACACAGTATTTCAATATGGCTGCATGCAGTATATCAATCTGTGATGCTGTGTTGCTACTCGGAATTACCACCTGCATAACATGTTAAAAATAAAAAAGAGATTTGCTGCCGGGAGAAAAAAAAATCAGATTTTGCTCTAGTGTTACAGTACATGTTGTACTGTCCTGTTATGTATTCATTGCTTCTGTTCAAAGTTGCCTTTTGTTAGTTATATATCAAATGCCAATTAGTTTGCATGCAATCAGCTGTTTAGTTATGGCAGGAAAGAGATGTCTTATGTGCTTTTCTCTGAGTTGTATTAATATTTCCTACTGTATTCATTTGTGATTCCAACCGTTCCAGGGGAAGGAACGTTAAACAGGTTGTATTCATTGTTCTAGGATTTACAAGAACCTGAGATGAAGTGGCACTGTGTTTTTTAGGACATCTTCCAACCCTACCCATGCCAAGGCCTTTAGCTGAAGAACATCTGCCCTGTAGTATTCTTGTGAAGAAGTTTAGAAAAATAAACATTTGGAGGTTGCTTGTTACATTTGAAAGAACCTAAACTAAACCCATGTGCAGCTCCCTGACCTAACTCTGTCTTTAATTCGAAAAAGCACGTGGCCCTTGCGCTAGGAATACTCCTTACTGCTCCTCAGACAGGCTTTGCTGAGAAGCGGTGTCTTCCAGGGCCATGTCTTCTTGGCTGGCCCTTCTGCACTCCAGGTTCTGACTCATGAATATGGCATGGGCCGGACCTGCCTCTCGCTGCCGTCTAGGTTCTGTAGCATCGGTTGCTTCACAGGTCTCGGTGAGTTGCTGGAAAGAAAGAAAGAAAAAGTCAGCTAGTTTAGGAGATTTCTAAGTAACACTTCAGCTATTTTTTGAAGTGACAGGTGAAAAAAGTTAAAAATTGATTTAGGAATGTCATTCTGTGAAACTGCATGGGATTCTTGACATGCATTATTCACGAGGGACTTCTGAAGAGGTACTTGTCACACTTTGTGTAATGCATAAATTTGGAAAGAAAAGCAGACCAGGAGCTAGAGGTTTAGTTCCACAGATGTACATGTATAGAGAGCTGTAAAATAATTTGGATTGAAAATGACTTCTGGAGGTCATCCAGTCCAAACTGCTGTTCCAAGCAGAGCTGACTTCTAAGAAGTTAAATCAGGTTGCTCTGGGGCTTGCTTTATACACCAAATTTTAAATCCAACTTTCAAAGAAACCTTTTCATCAAAACTGGAATCCAATTATCAGCCTGAAAATGTTATGTGCAGTGTCACCCCACTGTAAGGAGTCCATTAGTATAAAAGCTTTCCAGAACTGTGCTGTGTTAATGTTTAAGTAAAACAATGCCTCCTTACCACTTTCAATCAAATAGGCACCTGGACTCTGAGCAGTTACTTTGGCCAGGACTCACCTCATCTAAATTTAACCATGTAGTCTTAGTGTATCATCTAGGCTGTCAATGGTTGGCAGAGAGATAGAAGTGTCCCAGGGAAGGATTTCTTCCTGACAGCTGTAAGGATGAAGTGGACTGTCCTCTCCACCGAATACAGAGGCCACACCAACAATCAGCTGAGACCTCATGCCCAAATTTTAGATGGCTTAAAGTTAGACGAGGTGAATCCTACCAGCAGTACTCAGTATTGCAGACTGGCTGAGTTCGTGCATATTAGGCTATAAACTCCTGAGAGTTGGAATTATGCCTTGTCATCTGATATGTTCCGCTGTAGGTGTAGAAATATTACTAATGCTCATTAGAGTAACAGAGCAGGATCGGACCCAGATGAGTAACGTTCAGTCAACTTCTGTTGAAGTTCACAGCAAACCTCCAGGGAACTATACCATACATGGTATTTTTGGGTTGAGAGCAAAATACACACAGGCTAAGGAGCTTTTTTTCACTTGAGGTTTGGAGAATTCTTTGAAAATTAGGGATGTTATACAGTGTTCAGAATGATGGTAGCAGAAAAGTGTTTGGGACTTTCCATATCCGCAGTCTTCCCCTGTTGCCAATTTGGCCTCCATTTTGGTAGGCCAAATGTGAAAGGCTGTCTTAATTACGTTGTCACTCAACCTCTAGTTGCAGGCGCCCTTTATCTCGAGTCCATCTTCTCACGTTACTGCTCTGTAGTGTTGAGGTGAAAGTTTCAAAATTCAGGAAAGCAACTGATGGTGACCAAAGTTAAATAAATATACTTAAGTAGACAATAAAACAATAACACTACTATGTGCATTGAATTTTCCAGGGAAGATGGGAATAGAACTGCGAGCCCACTGGGAAGAGGGCTGGAAGTTCTTTGTGTGTACTGTTTTGCTGTTAGAAAGTGCTGAATCACAGGGCATGCAGGTTTCCTTTGGGAAATGCTGCCTACAGACTTCCTTTGACTAACCCTTTCAGCAAGAAGGTTTTCAGGTCCTGGATTGAATTTCTGGGCAGTGAGAGAGGGACAGAACAAGTGCACTGTTCAGTGGGAACCATTCCTCTTTGTACAAAAAATTAAGTCCTGCGTAAGCAAGCAAGGAAGGAGCTATTCAGTCTGCTTATGATGGCACTCATCCCTGGGCTGCAGAAAATGGAGACCTAAGCTCCTGGTCTGACTGAAAGGAAGAGGGACTTTATCCCAGTCTGCAATTTCAGGTGCATGCTTAACAGCCAACCTGTCACTTACAAATACATCACTCTCATATGCGCACTAATATTAAACACTCTCATTTTCATTGTGATGCAGCGAAATCCAAACCAAATACCAAAATCCTGACGATGTTTTGGAAAAGACCATTTTCTGACCAGCGAGAAGAAAGAAACGATGGTGGGGACAGTTCAAGAACCTGATAGGAGAGCAGTACAGTAGCTCATGCTTGGTACTGCTATTTTGGCCTCAGCCTTACCCGAGTCGCTTGACTCGCTGCTCTAGCAGATGGACCCATGGCAATATTCATACTGCTGGATGACTGGGTGTCACTGGTGTTACCTCCATCTGCAGCTGAGAGCCCAGAAATCACCAAAGCACTTGAAAAACTTCTCTTGCCAAACAGCAGGCTGAGAGTTGAGCTGGTGGAAGAGGCCAGACTGGACCTGAGCATTGCTGCAGCTCGGTCCTGCACAGTCAGCTGGCCAGCAACAGGAACAGCAGGGGACTGGGAAAACACAGATGTTGCCGAGTTGTGGAATGACAGCTGACTACTAGAAAGCCTTTGGGCAATTTCGTGGGCAGATGTGGATGTTTGGATGAAAGGCTGGCGGCTTTCTACAATTGGTCCAGAGTGACTTGAAGCAGGGGGCCTTTGGTTTAAAGCAGCGTGTGCCTGGACGGACTGACTCCTGGGTTTTCTCCTGCCTTTAAAAGAAAGATAAATACATTAAAGTCAGTGGCATCCTGATGAACCCCATGCTATTGACAGCATCCCATGTGTACCTATTACTTTTGGCATATTACTACTGGTTTTAGCAGCATAAGAATCCCAAGAATAACAGAAATAACAAATTGCTAAACCTATGAACCCTGCTGTGTTTCCACTACAAGGGTTCTGGCTTTTGCTCAGAATAGCGCCAGTGGTTCTCCACTGAGTCAAAAGAGAGGAAAATGAGAAGACACCCCAAGGAAAGTACTCTAATCACAGGCTCACACCTATTCTGCCATGTACGTTTTAACCCGCCCAATGAATAAGCATAGTGTTGCTGTAACTCCACTCCCCTTTGACAACCACACTAAAGTAGGGCTGTTGAATACCCACCTTAAATGGCTTGGTACAATTAAATGCAAAAATAAAGCCAAAAAACCTGTGACTTAAAACAGTGGCACATTAAAAAGAATTATTCCTGCATATGGGGAAAGAGAATTTGAGAATTCAACCACGTGGAAGACTACAGCATTCAAGCCACAAGACTGTGTTTAATATTAAACTGTAGCTGAGTTCCAAGAGTGATATTTACAGTATATCACAGACTGAAAAGATGTGAACATGGCTAGTTAGGGTAGTCTATTGGAGGTCTGAATGAGCCCCACATAAAGCTCTTGCCCCATTCTGTGAAGCATCTCGATGCAGCCACTGTTGGATACAGAGTAGATGAGAGATGCTATTCTGACATGCCTAGACAATGTCTATCTTCCTGTACATATACACCCCAATTTTTAACATTTATATCAACACCTCATGTCATTCAAACAAATAATTTCTGTGCTTCTTATGCCTACATATTTAAATAGGCATAGAATGAAAAATAAATCAACTTACTGGCCACCAGATACCTGCTTGCACCCAGGCACTCTGCAAAAAGCATGCAGCAGGCTGGCATGTGCCCCAGGCCCCAGAAGAGTTTCTCGCTTCTGCAGACAGGCTCTAACCCAGGTTTATGCAGCAAACAGCCAGTCACGCGAGTGCCTGCTTTGCTTTTTTGCTTTCCAGGAAACTCCAAACGTTAACACAAGCTGGCATTTTGGTTTCCTAGCTATAGCTGTGGGGTAGAGAGTTAATGCCAGAAAATCTGTTGAGAGCCATCAACGCAGAAACAAGTTTTGCTGGCAGCCATTTCCAGGTTGTTGGTAAGTTTTTTTGCTTTGTTTTTTCTCAATACCCGAACTACAGAGGGGAGGGAAGCACTGAAACTCCTCCAGATACTGAAATTTTGCAGGCATAAAGGATTATAAATCTCACACTATCTTCTAGAAGCATGACTGTTTGCTGAATTCATGAGGGTTCCAGTAACGCAGAATTTCATATCCAAACTATTTACATTATATAGCTGAAACATGCTGTTTTACATCCACAGACCTGCCTTCCAGAGGCTGGTATCATTAGCTCCATCTTTCAGATGGTGAAGCAAGGAGAATTTTGGTAACTTCGCACAGAGTCAGATGGCAGAGCCAGGCCACAACCTAACTGGAGCTCTTCAGCTGGACTAAAACCTAGTTGGCTGGGCAAGCACTGGACACTTTTGCACCCCACTTACAATGTATCTTTAGGTCTACTTTTATACTCCAAACAATAAAACCAAAAATTTTCCTAGAATGGCATGCCAAGCAGCATTCTCGGTAATAAGAGCCCCGAGATGTCCGCTTGCGAGCCGCAGGACAGATGCACGTGGCTCCTGTGCGCCATGCTGCCAGCGTCCTCTGCACGTCAGACGTGATGGCGGGGAGGGCACGCGCTGCGATGGGGGTCAGGCCTGGCTGCCGCACCAGCAGCTGTGCGCACGTCTGGCCTCCGCGGGGATTCAAGGTTCTTCAAACTCCGGGGTTTTGTTTAAGTGCTTTGGTTTCTACATCTGATGGTTATTTTAATATGTTACCCTTTTTAAATAAAAAGAGCGGACTGGAATTAAGAACAGAGGGGCTGTGGCGTATTGGTTTGTGCAGGGGCTAACGTGGCCAAACATCTGTTTGTGATTTAAACTGCCAAGCTGACCCCTGTCCAAACATATTCTGTATTCATCCCAAATGCAGTGGTTAGACCATTGGACAGGAGACCACCCGCGACTACACATAAATAACTCTGTCCCTGAAAACACTTAGGAAACAAAGGCTGTTCTATAAACTGCATCATGAAATAAGGACACTTTGGGGGAGAACCCCACACGTTTCCAATGCTCCTGATTTTGGTTGCACTTTTATATAGGGCTTTCATTGCATTTTGCAGACTCGGTGGCACCAGGGTGCAAAAAGAAATATGAAATATGAAAACATTAAATGCACTGCTTCATAGATTATGAGTCTAGAAGGGATTGCTGTGATCATCTAGTCTGCTGTGCTACATAGCATGGGCCATAGAACTTCCTGGAATTAATTCCTGTATGGTATTACTAATTAGTATGATTATTTTTAAGAAATGCATCCAATATCTCCAGTCATGGAGAATCCATCTTAACCCTTAGTCGCTTGTTTCACTGTTTATTTACTCCCACTGTTAGAAATGTGCACTTGATTTCAAATCTGAATTTGTTTAGCTTTGTTATATCCAAGTCTGCTTGAATCAACTATTTTTGGTCACCTTTTGTTGCCCAGGTAAGTACTTACAGACTATGATCAAAGCATCTTTTACAATATAAATTGTTTGAAAGCTCTTAGTCTTTCACTACAGGATGTATTTCCCAGATCTTTGATCATTTTTTGGCTCTTCTTTGAACTCCTTCCAAATTAAAAAGGTCCTTCTTAAATTAGGGCACTAGGCCTGCGCGTGGTAGACCAACAGTGCCCTGAACCAAAGTCAGACTGACAGACATGCATTGCCCAGGTCACCCTATTCATTCTGCTTTAACAACAACAGGCATAGCATTAAGTTCTTTCCCAGTCCTCTGGTATCGCCTTAGTGTCCCGATACTTACTGAAGATCAAACAGAGCTTGCTTTTTAACCAGCTCTCTTAAAAACCTTCTTGAATGAGAGTCATTTGGATTTGCTCAATTAAGCATATGGCTTTGATAGCCACTCTTATAGGATGGAAGGAACTACTTCATGATCAGATCACAGAAATAGATCATCTGCATTTTTCCCAATACAAACCAGATATTTCTTTTCTCATTTCTACACTATCGGCAGCTCTGCCTTTCTATGTACTGACGGATCGAGACCACTGTTAGGATTCCTTTGCTGCTAATACTCTTTAAAAATAAACAGCCACAAACCCCCTTTATCTTTTTGTCCCTAATGGTGCTAGCCAGAAACTTCTCCTTGTTTCATTTTCTGTCTCTTATCAACGGTCTCGCGGGACTGAATACTGATTTGCATTTGCTATTTTCCACTTCCTTGCATTTGTTGTGCATTTCTTCATTTTACCTCAAAGTCAGGTTGCTTTTCTTAACAAAGTGTGACCTTCTCTCTTGATTGTGGTTTTCTGGGCACCCAATACATTCTTTTAAACAACTCACAATTAACTTTCATTCTTGTATGGCATGCTCAGGATCATTATTTTACAATTAAGTTTGCCATTCGGATTACTGCAATGTCAAGTAATGAGTATGCACGTGGGGATTCCTCTAACGCTAGACTCAATTAAAAGCAGAAGTTATTTTATTCTTACAACATGATTTATATTCAGGGCAAGATTTTCTCCAGTCCTGTCCATTATCTTTAATGACAGATCAAAACGATCTGATGGGAAACAAACAAGTGTCATACCCCTCTAGTTCTCTGCTTTAGTTTATACAGTAATACCACAATTCATTGCAAGGTTGAGTTAATTGGCTTTACATTACAAGTCCTGATCCCACAGTGATAGGTCTCACAGTGACCCACTGCCAAACTTCATGTATATATCCAATGTGAAGACCTTCTGAATATGTCTGAAGTACTTTTGAATCCATAATTTAATATGAGAAGGGCTCAGCTGTTAGTTGACAGAATGACTGGCAACATTTAATTTTCTCCTGGTAACTGCTGTATAGGCATAAGAAGTTATTTCCTATTTGTTCTCCACATGCGCTGATGAACAGCCAAACCAATTCCTCAAATGAATCGTCATGGTCCTTCCAAGATAATTAAGATTTTTGCATACTTTCACCTCTGCTGTTCCCAGCCAACAATAAGCACAGGTTCACTGTGGTATGGGCTCCCTGCATCGCACATGTAGACTCCCTCCCATCTGCATTTCTCATTCTGGCATTGTTAGTGGCACCTCCTAGTCCAAAAGTTACACATAAAGGAGTTTCACAGCAGAACCCTTGATGAATCACATTTGTCTTATACCCTCCCAGTAAATACCTGGAACAATATCAGGAAGGCATCTCCTACATATGCTTGGTCATTAGGAAAGACAAAGGTCTCTCTTTCTAAAACTAGTTTTCCACTGGATATGAGCATGCCCCAAAAGCATCTGCCTACGTGGCCCCTCAGGAGAAGACTACAGAAAAAGCCAAGTAAATTGTGCAAATACCTGCACGCTGGTGGACATCTTGAGACGAAGCTTGCAACTGAGGGGTTCCGTCTCTGGTGGGCTGTGAGCTACTGCTCTGGCTTGCATTGCCTGTGGAATTGCTGCTAGACGAAGACCCCCCTCCGCTATCCGCCTCTTCAACATTACCTCTCTCATGGTGAGCTGCATGGCAGTCCTTCCGCATTCTGTTTGCAAGAACACACACGTGGTCAGCCATTTATTATGTCCAAAAATTTGTGCCACCAATGTTAGTTGCCCTCAAAATGTGTAATTGTACTTTCTCATACCGCTGCAGGTCTTTTGACATTTTATGAGATGACAAAGATGATGATGTGGTAAGCTTACTTGGAACAAAACTGTATACGACACAAACCAAATCTTTCCTTGTCTGTGTTAAGTGGCTTTGCAGCCCTGCAAGACCTTAGGACTCTTTATCTAATGTTACAGCGGTCTCTAAAGATCAACTTTTGCATGAGATAACCAAGTAGCAAAGAAGAGGAATGGGCTGGAGGGAGCTCAGTGGGAATAAGCTGCACGGTGGGAAACTAGCATATTAAGCCACTAGATTTAATCGTGGCATTTTAGCATAGGTGTTAGCATGCAAGCTGGCTCCCAAAGTCTCTCCAGGGTCCCCTGCCTCTCCTCAGCCACAGTGGTAGCAGGGCGGGTGGAGGGAATGAGACAAGAGTGAGTTATTGCTGTATGAAAAGTGCATGTAGGAATGAGATGGAATGTGTCAGATACTGATCATGCATTCCTAGGGGAAGTCAGGTGGTTTTGGTGGATAGTAAGTACATTTTTAGATGTGTTTTGGTCAAGAACAATGACTTGGGGATGATCATCTATACTGCCAAAGCTTTGGAGCATAACTCACCAACACATTTACTCGTGTTCTGACATGTCACTGAGCTACAGACAAGATACCCTTATTTACAAGGCCCAAACAGTAAAATTCCCTGGAATAAAGGAAATGTCTGTAGTGCTTAGTGATTTGATAATGAATCTTGTTGAACATGTAGAAAGCTTTGCTTAAAAGCCATGAATGAGTTAATGAGTTTGCTTTCTACTGTACCTGTAGGGCTATTTTGTTTTATTCCAAGTTATCTGCAATTAACTTTTTACTCATAGATAACAGTATGGAATTACTCTCTTTTAACAGAAAATACAGTGGAACCGAGACTGCATAACCAAAATTTAACACCTACCTTAACCATTTGGATCTGAACCACTTTTTAATGTTGTCCAAACTGACAGGTCCCCCCCAAATGTTCCTCAGTTGGCTGTGTGTCCCAAGGTACGAGGTGGTTAAAGGGGAAACGTACATGGGATATCCCAGTGGCTGATCACATGAAGAATTAATTAAGTTCCGCAAGACCTGTTTATTGTTCTGGATGCTTCCTCTCTCTGGGTTACGATTGCGTAAGAAAATCAGTTCCTGCTGCTGCCCGGCCCAAAGCCCTCTGACACACTCCTTGTTGACCTACAGATAGGTTAAAAACGTGGATCATGTGAAAACGTTTGCTACTTAAGATGCAGAACTATATGACCTAGGTAGAATGGCAGTCATGTCATGTCTTTGCACCAACAGGTTTTATGAACCTTTGCAGCTACTCCCTGGTAAAGCCTGGAATGTTATCTCAGATACACAAACATGGGTGCAATATGGAAGTCAACAGAAGAGAGCTCTTTTAGCCTCCAATCCTTACTCCGATAACTACAATCAACCTCTGCTTTTGGACACATTACTCAGAAATAGTATTAGTTACCACAGCCCTAAATTACTGCAATATTAGAAAGATGGTATATGTACCTTGATAACCTTGAAGCTCAAGTAGCTTTTGTGGAGCATGATAACTTTATATTCATCTGCTCCTTCATCTACTACGTGTCTCAGGGTTAGCAGCTCCTCTCTGTTGGAGAGTACAGCGCTGCGCCAGGCTGGGTCCCCTTCGTGACAAATCACAACCTTTTCTTCAAAAGACTGGATCGCTTCATACAAAACTGCTGGGTCCTCATACTCATCTGGGCAGGTGAACTGGTCCTGGTAGTACAGGAAAAGGTATTGAAAAGGTCAGGTATATTTCTGAAAACACAAAAACTATTAACAATGAACAAAATCCTGTTTTTCGAACAGTTGCCAGCTCACCCCCCAAGTGACTTGCCTTTTGACACAGCATGTTTTTGGGGAGGTAGAACAATTAACCATAATATAGAAAGGTACAATTTTTGTTTTATTGTAACCTGTTCTGATCTCATGTCTCCACTGGACAAGGACACTTGGAGAATGTCAGCTTATCCACTTTCTTTTTATAAAGTGGGAAACCACGGGAGACAGAGCTTTTGGGTAAGCCGGAAGGAGACTGGAATCACCTGGGGCATTCCACAGTTCTTGTGGAAATCCTTATTTTTATTCATGAAAAATCACCAACAAAAGCACAGACTGGGAATCCATCAGCAGATATCACAATATTGTGTTACTGCTTTAGACGTCACGCAGCAACACAGCCAGCGATAACATTCATAAAATTATTGTGTCAAATTCTCAGATACTAATTCACAGCAGTTCCACTTCAGTTACATTCAGAGCGATTATAAATACCATGCATGACAAAAGCATATGATACTAAATCATAACGTGCCAGAGCAAGAACAAAATCAACTCCAAGCTATACAGAGGTTGACCTGAAGAAATTGGAGCAGCTTCAGTGGAGGTGTGCCAGATTTTTACAACTGAAAACAGAACAGGGTCAGAAGCCGCCTGACATAAACAAACAGCCGTGACACTAACCCTTCAAACCACTCTCCTCTCAGCTGTGTCCTTTAACACACAGAAGCGTTACGTGTGTATTGCCATTCACAAAAGCACTGATAAATTAGCAATGAAATTAGTCTAATCAATGTATTTCTTTTCAATCTAAAAACCATCTTTATAGTATCCACACAAGTAAAACGTGACATGACCATCAGTTTTGTTTTGATGAAAACTGCAGGGCCGAGCTCTGCAATATGAATGGTTTCAAATGGGCAGCTAGGGAGTACAGAAAAGATCAAGTGAATACAAAATAAACCAACGCCAAGCTTTTCCATTTTGGTTAAGGAAGTTTCTCAGAATAAGGCAACAAGTACTCCATTTCCCTGTCTTTTTTTTCTTTCTTTGAACAGTTTCTAAGGTTTCCTGTGATTGCCCAAGAAAACAGATGCAGTAGTAAAAGTTAAAAATAAAAAAAAGACCCTACCTGGTGTAGCTTCAGAGACATTCGGATTGCCGGGGCAACAACCTTATGCAATAAATCCATGTCTGCAAAGACCCACTCATCCTTTGCTGCTATCCGAAAGTCTCCTTTGAACAGTGCATGGAGCCCGTAAAGAAAAGAGTCCAAGCTGTAAGACAAAGGCAGCAGTCACTTCCAGAAGTCATTCCTGTCTCACCAAGCCAGACCCCCGCCAGCTGCCGGCCACGTGCTGAGCTGCGCAGTGACCGGCGGCCCTCCGGCGCACGCTGAGCTCCTGCGGTGGGCATAAAGCAGGGGTCACATCGCATATTCCTAATGAGAAACCGTTCCTCGGGGTAGGTGTTTTCCTTCTGCTTGCACTGTAAATGGCTGGCTGTGAAACGAGTGTGGCACCTGGAACAAAGGATGTCCTAGGGATGGGTGCTTGTGTCACGGGGTGCCTCGGGTGCTGCTTCTCTTGTGGCTGCGCTGAAGAGACGAGGTCAAAGTGTCCCAGCTGCTCTGCAATCCCTGCGCAGGCAGCAGAAGCTGCCCCCTTGTTTGAAAGTTTATTGATTGGCCCTGTTACTCTTAGCAGTTCTCCTTGCAAGGTAAAAATTAAAAAAAAAAAAAAAAGCTGTAAAAAATATTGTCAGCAAATCTGAGACTTTTGTCATGAAACTCAAACCCAGACGTGAACATTAAACCAGATGTACTAAGAAGAATACTAAGTTTCAGGCTGTTCAGCAAACCGGGTGAGAGCATGAATCAAACGACAGGCATTTCATACTGAAACAATGAGCCCTAAAGCAAATGTGCGCTGCATTTCTTTTTTCTAATATAAGAAACTAGATGTAACCAGTTCTGCCTGACGTTGGATGACAGTTTGCGTGGACCTGAGATTTAAGCAAGAGGTAAAAGGTACAAAATCGAGTAGTTGTTAGAAAATGGTTGCAGGAGGGCTTTGTGAAGGGAAACAACCAGCCTTCAGCTCCAGCGTGCACCCCAAATCACGAGCTTTCCCCAACGACACCACAGCCACTTGTATAATGCTTATATAGCAGGACTGCTCTCCTAATGCTGCTCTGAAGAAGTGATCTCGAAATTGAGGAAAACAGAACCATCTGTTAAAAACAGGCATCTCTTGCAAACCTACAGGACATGGTTTCATCTACCTGCCAAGATTTTACTCGCTCTTACAACAGTTGGTTTTTTCAGATTGTAAAGGCTCTGAGGAGAAGCTGCATTAAGATGTTAGTGGTTTTCACTGCCACCCAGGCTTTCTCCAGAGAACTCTTTCCACATAATTGAGCTTTCTTCATTATTTTAGGAAAAGAAAAAAAATGTTTTAAATTTTTTCTCTTCTCCAAGAGAGGGAGAAGAGAGACTGAGAGACTGCTTGGCCTATCCTCAGCTCAGACATGTTCTAATTTTGCCCTTGGTGGGTAGCATGTTTTAGAAATTAAAATGGAAAGATATATGTGTTGTTACCAGAAAAACAGCTGGATACCGATTTTCTCTGTGGAAGCACCATGTAATACAAATCAACTAATCAGTGGGACCAAGGCCAGTCAGGAAGGCAGGGAACTGTTGTTGTTGCTGGGATCATGAAGAGTACAGGGAAGCTCTTGTGAATTCTTAACCGATCTGCATTTATTAGTCCTAAGTTACGTATTAAAACATGCCTATGTGAGACAGGCACACTCAGATATTCAAAACAGTTCAAGCACTGATTTCAATGGGAGTTATACATCTTCAAGGGACGGGTCCTGATCCCCACTGACATTCAATCGCTCATCTCCACTGTTTAGAAAATGATCATATACCCAAATCCTGCTTAATAGCTAGGAAAGCCCCAGAATAAACCAATTAGGGGAAAAAAAATGGTGGGTGCAGCCAGTGCAGTAAAATATGTGACTATCATCTCCTTTGAAAAGGCTAGGAATCAGGAAGAATCCTTTCACTCACCCACCCACTAGACAACATCCAGCATACACAGCTGAATCCTTGCCTGGAAAAAGCACTTCTGTATCTAAATATTCTTCCCAGGATGAAACTGAAAAAACTACCCTGAACTCTGCACCTAATGATGATCTGTAGTACAGTTTTTCCCCACGTAACACCCCCTGTATTTGCTCTGAAAAGCTGGCTGGGACGAAGGGAGGAGTAGGCAGGAGGCAGAACTGTTTTTTACATCATTAGAGGCTCTCAGGCCAAATCTGAACACCAGAGTAGTCAAAGAGCTTGCGTTCGCAGCAAAGTGTCATGGCATCAGCGCATGCTGAACAGGCTGCTGTGAACAGCAGCATCTGCAGAAAGCAAGGCTGGGGCTAGGCCAGCTATGGAAACTGCAGCTGAGCATCAGCAGAGGGAGTGGAGGGAAGCACGGACAGCTCTCGCTGTGCTTAGTTAGGGAAGAACCATCCGTTTCTCATCCCTCTGCATAGTAAGTTCTCTAACCAGCATTTTTAAGAATAAATATGACTGCTACAAGGGGCGAAGCAGTGGTGGCAGCAGTTGTGAGAGGCTGCGAGTCAATTATTTTATATATCGTATTTTCCACCAGAGAGGTCTGGGGGAGGTTGCTATATTCACAAACCCAGGGACATCTTTTATTCTCCTGCCAATCGTAATGAAGCTTTTGGGTACATTCTGCCTAGAATGTGACACTATCTCAAGCCATTACTTCTGTAACACAGTCCTTAATCCACATGAGATACAGCTGTTGTTATTCTTCCCATTGTTATGCTCTCTCCTGAAGACTCTAATGAGATTATAAAGAAGCTGTAAAGCCACCAGCTTTGATCTCAGGCCTGACTCAAGGTTGGTGCTTTCTTGGCCCAGTTTTAAGACACCTCAATTAGTAATCTGCTGTAGTTACAGGCTCTTCCAAAATATTTTAAAAACTAGTTAAGGTAAATTCACATGCCAAAGAAATGACATGAATCAAGAAGAGACATAACTACTATTTCTGGCCACATTTCTAACCCTCTGAGCTAAGAACCCGAAAAGCTGCTGTCACAACTGTGAGCTATTTTAGAACAAGACTAGTACGTGTGTGGGAACCGTCGGCCCCTCGAATGTGCAGAAAGGAGGGGATTAAGTAGCACCACAAATACCAGAGGGAGGGCAACACAGCCAAAGCAAATACTCCCTCCTACTGCACTCCTTACGCTGCTCCAACAGCTGAAACTAAAAGCATTTGATGCAAGCCTGAAAACAGAATGGGTGAAGACTAATGAGCTGGTGAATGTATCTGTGTGTATTCTGCACGCCAAAACCCATCCTCTGTCTGCAGTTTATAGACCTTTCCCAATGTTAACTGTAGATTTATTTAAGGAATAAAGAAACATGCATGCCTGTGAGCTGGTAACGACCTGAATGACGCAGCTCACCTGAATGAAATTTGGTATTTTATAGGATAGTGGTTGTGAGCAAAGAGTCAAGCTTTTCTCCCCTGCTTCTCCTCAGCTCTGGCAGACATAGAGCTGCGCTGCCTGCCTGAACTCCCCCTAGCAACGCAGCATCACAGGTGGCATTGTGGCGCCATGTCCCGCACCCTCCACCTCTTTCCCCTCAGATGCTGGGCGGTGCGATGCGGTGCCCAGGAGGGAAGGGGCAAGTGGGGCCAGCTGCCTCCCTGGGCTGCAGCATGAGCAGCGGTGCCTCCAGGCAGAGGCGTTCCTTGGAGTCACCCTCTGTCCACGCTGAGTGATAATGCCCAGAGGGAGCTCAGGGGACCTGAGCATCCAGGCTTCGTAGTTTTGGAAGTATCTGATGAGAGATGCTTTATTGAGAGATTTTTATATTTTTCCAAATTCAAAATGTATACTAAACACTTATTTACTAGTAGGTCTAGTGGCTGAATAGGATTATTAAGTAATTTTTTACAAATACACACCTAAACATATCACTCATATCTGAATAAATGAATGGTAATGGCATGTCATTCTTCAAATTGCATTTTGTGCAGGATGCCTCCTAATGACAGTTTAAAAGAGCAAGTGATTTGCATAGCAATGTTCTGCCTTCTTAATGAATGCATTTGTTGTGTAATCTAGTGTTAATGTTGGGTTTCTACTGACATTTACATGAACAGGTACACTGAATAATTATTTACATACATTATATAAGAGCATTTAAAATCTTGGTTTACACAGTGACATTTACTGATTAATAGATTAGACAAAATCATGTGTAAATGAGTGCAAATTGATAGTTTACATACACAATGTAAACTTGAATCTCAATTCTGTGGTGCACAGCTCAGTGTAACATTACCCTTGCATTCCTATTTCTGCGCAGCAGTTGGATGTCTGTCACTCCTCAAGACACAGCAAGGGCTAGACTCAGTCCAGAGAAAGTTTCCTACTACCTGCACAGTTCATCCCCGAGAACGAAACATGAACCACAGAGCACAGATTCTTGGCTAGTTTGCTCACGTTGGACATATCTGAAACACTTCATAGAAATAAGCGTGAGGAGGGGAGGACAACAGTGCCTATTTGGCCATTACATCTCAAACTCATCACAAAAGCTCTAGCAATGATGTTGTACACAAGATGCTTCACAGCCAGAATTAATAGAAAGTCCTGAGATTAAGTTAAAGGTCATTTCTCAGTGCCTACCAGAGTGATCTAAATAATCTAAGTTTTTGTAGTCCAGCATTCGAGTGTGATAGAGCACGTGTTAGGAGCCCTGATCTCTTACAAAGTGAGCCAGCTCCCAAGAGCCGTATATGCAGTACGTCCCCCTCGTGCACACAGCTGGCTGTGTTCTGACACCATCTCTGCAGAAAACTAAACCCTTCTTCAGCACCAGTAGGCTCCAAAAGGTCCCCAAACTATCATGACACCTTTTCAAGGAAAAGGACTGTGAAGCATCACCTAAGGAACGATTCCTCCAGCTTCTGAGGACCTTAGGAACTTCTCCCCCATCTGACTGAATGCAGACCTGCAAGAGCCTGAGAGCGGGGGGCGAGGACCAGCAATAATGCTCTAAATCACCCTCTGAGAGCTGCTGTATCTCCACTGAACACAGAGAGAGGGAAGGGAGACCTGCCTTCAGTGCCAAAAGTTAATCCTCGGGAACATCTCCTTCTGGCCTCAGCAGCGTTGCACGTCTTGGACAAAGTCTCCTTCCTCCTGGCATGCCATGTAATTGTATTCCTGTCGGAGTCTCGCTGACTTACTGCTTCTTTGTGTTTAAGTAAGTTGTGAAGATCTGCGTGAAGCAGTAAACGCTCTACGTATGGTAAGAACTGCCCTCTGTGCTGAAGTGAATGTGTTTGGGGGATTTTTGTTGATAAAGGTCTTGACGTCAGGGGGTAGCATACCCACCTTGCTCCTCAGTTAATAATTTTGACTAAATAGTTTTTGTCAATTAAAATAAATATATGAATTCTTTAGGACAAGAATAAACATATTTCACCAAGCTAAAGTAATGTTTTGTAGCTGTAGCAATTTATAACTTGAATTGTGCTACTCATTCCTTTTTTTCCCCCAAAATCCTTCTGAGAGTTGAAATGTATTAAAGGTAATTTAACCAGGTGGGTAAGTGACACAGTCTTTCACTGTGAAACTTTTCTAGGGCAAGATTTGTGAAGTAGCACTAGAAAAGATACTGACAGAAGCTTCCACTTAATCCCTTTTATGTCACAAAATACATTTAAAAAATACAATGATTCAATACTGCCCTGGAGCACTTTCTTAATAAAAAGAAAATCAGGACTTAAAGATACAGGATTATACAGAATGGATTCAGAAAAACAGGGATAGAGCTGTGCAGTGCATGTGACTACTACATTTTTTTCCCCTTCTACAGACCTCTTCTCCCCAAGAAAAGTATTTTTGAGTATGAAGCATCTGCTCACCAAAAGAGAGAAACTAATTTGGTTCATCGGTGATTTTCCAGATTTTAAAAAGACATTATAGCTGACTCTGGCAATTATTATTAAAATCTTTACAGAAGACTTTGCAAATAATTATTCTCAACAATCATATTTTCCATGTTAAGCTTTGGAAAGTCTCTGATAAGATTATCTCTTTCCATTAGCTACCGACCATGTAAGCCAATAAAAATAGGTGACATTGTTATTGTATCTGTACTAGTCCCAAAACATTGTAATGAGGATTTTAAGATCCTGTGGAAGGTACATGCAATGTGATGACAGTTTTAGGAAGTTTTTGTGATATTTTTAGAGGCATTTCTAATACCGCTGTGACATACCTATTGCAGCCCCAGATCAAATTCACTTTAATCTTTTCTCAAAAAAAAAAAAAAGATCACAAATGCATGTCAACTTTTCTATCATGTCCCCAAACTCTAAAATTTGGATCATCAAAAAACATAGGGCAATTTTAGAAATATCTGTGCCTTACTAAACATCGCACTAATTCGAGTGCATAGAAATGAAGGGAGAGGAAACTCAACCCAGAAGAAAACAACTACAGGAAGGGAATGTGCAAAGATTAGTAGAAAAGAGGTGACGAAAGCGACTTTAGAAAGCAGAAAGGAGGTTGTAGTGAGGTGGGGGCTGGTCTCTTCTCCCATGTAGTTAGCAATAGGACGAGAGGAAATGGCCTCAAGTTGCATCAGGGGAGGTTTAGATTGGATATTAGGAAAAATTTCTTCACGGAAAGGGTAGTCAAACATTGGAACAGGCTGCCCAGAGAGGTGGTGCAGTCACCATCCCTGGAGGTGTTCAAAAAACGGGTAGACGTGGCACTTTGGGTCATGGTTTAGTGGGCATGGTGGTGTTGGGTTGATGGTTGGACTGATGATCTTAGAGGTCCTTTCCAACCTTAATGATTCCTAGTTTTTACTTGCATTAAAAAATAATCCAGCCACCAAGCCAGGAAACTTGAAATTTCTACTCTAGCCTTAATTGGTTTAGTGGTGGACTTGGTAGCGTTAGGTTAATGGTTGGGCTGGGTGATCTTAAAGGTCTTTTCCAACCTAAACGATTCTATGATTCTAAGCAGCACACCAAGAAATAGGGTGTGTGGGCCATGAACATTTTGTGTGACTGACTGAAAGAGGAAGACATAAAACCAGGCATTACAAATGACTCAACAGATAACAAAGCTAGGATGAATATTTAAAGGACTGTTTTATCTTATAACAGAAAATACATTCAAAATTGCACATGCTGTCTTTGGTTGCTTGTTAGTAAGACAAATCCTCTCTAAGGACCGTGTTGATAGAGTGCTTGTTAGCTTTATTCACAGTTTTGTGCCAATATAGCAAGGTCACTTACAGACTCTGTATTTAGTAATCTTCTCCACTGTTACAAAACTCTTGTGAACACACAGAGTTCAAATACATCTAATAAAAATCTACAATTAGGAGAGAAGGTAGACTTTAATAAAGTAAAGATTATTTCATTAATAAAATACCTTATCTATAAAATTAACTATTTGGGCTGAACACTTAGCACAGCATAAATGGTACTTTAAAAAACCCAAACAATTCAGAACTCCTAGTGAAAATGGAAGAATCCCTAAGGAAAATATAAGGTGAAGAGCATATCCAGAAATAAACTTAACCAAGCATATTTTCATTAACCTGACTTTCTAGGAAGAAGTGTTTTGAATGAACGAGTAAGGTAAACTGAAACAGACAAAGCTGCAGTCTCAAGAGATGCGAGGGTCTCCCTTTCTCCGTCACCAGAATGAGGTGGCACAAGGAACACAAGGAGCCCTGAGGAGTAGAGGACCCTTATGGATTTATTATTGTTTAGCTAACTAGATGTCAGAGTGCTTAGAAGTTTCTTCCCCTTCTGGAGGAAGACAGCGTTACAGTAGCCAGGCCAGGTGTGAGAGAACAGAAGTAATAACCATCGGTACCTATCCTTTCAATGCAAAATTCTGCTTTGCCCTATGAAATAAAGATTGATATTAGTTATTAAGTAAGCTACCAAAGTAAAAGATGTCCAGGAATGGCAGAAAACAAATTATTTTAAGGAGGAAAGAGACTTCGCTTTGATCTAATCTTCTGCTGAGATTCCACATTAAGTGAAAAAAGACAAACAGGTCTTTGCTTTAAAATGAGGAAAAGGGATTCCTGAAAATTACCTGATGGCCATATTGTGAGCTGCAGTTCCCAAAGCTCTTCGACCCAGTATACACAAGGCAAAGGAAAGCGTCACTAGAGGAGAATCTTCATCACTGTCCAGGTGCTACAAGGTTTTAAGAACAGCATGTTATTCCAGATGCAAATACCATCTTTAAAAGAACTGCAATACTATATATTGTAACATTCATAAAATTTCTTGTAGCTGAACCTACATACAAAAACATTCTTTGCAATTAAACAGAGCAAGAAGGAAGATCATTGCCATCAAAGGCTTTCTGCAAAGTGCAAGCTTATTTTGCCCGCTGGCTAGAAATAGAACATTTCAATCTCGGGTGGTGAGATCCCACGGGAGGGGAGCTTTGGTGGTGGCGGGTTTTTTTGTGGGTTGGTTGGTTTGGTTGGTTTTTTGTTTTTCCAGATCTGACATTCTAAACCAGAGCAGATTCCTTATTGCTGTGAGACTGCAACTGGAGGCAGCCAAACCCTCTTTTCATGGGACACAGTGCATATGAAACTCCCCCACAGCTTCCAGAAGAACAATCTATTTGGAAAAATTTGGGGAAACACACTTTTAGTGAATAACAATATATATCTAAATTGGACACCATTGATGACACTGACCTCATATCTTAACAAGCAGTCAAAACATTTTATTGACATTTACTAGCTCAGGAGAGTTCAGAAAAAATGAAACAACCCCTCATGACTGTAAATCTTTAGGAGGATACAGACTATCATTTCTGTCCATGCAATGGGTGATTTCTTACAGCTTGCTTTGACTCTAAAACTGAAGCCAATTACAATGGAGAATGTAGCTCCTTCTAGAAAATACACTGATTTTCAGGGCTATGTGTATAGCAAAGCTTTTTTTACATCTTATCTCCTACATGAACTTTACCTCTATAGTGAATTACAAAAACAGACGTAAAAGAAAAAGATGCAAAAAATATATAAATGGGTGTGTGTGCACACTACTGCAGGCACTCGTTTGCCCTTTTAAGTCTAACTCCAATGTCTATTGGGCATCCCTAAATCTATTATTCTATTTGAAAGTCTCAGCCACATAACAAGTGAAAAAGTATCATTTAACAGTGGTTTTTCCCTGCACGGTGCAATTCTTTTGTGTGTCAGAACTTGGGAGCTGAGACATGGAGATGGGAACGAAAACAGATGAAATATTCCCAGTGGGAGGAGATGGTGGGGAAGGCTCAGAGGACAATTCAATGAAAACAGTATCGATGCAATGACATGCAGAGGAACTGGTGGAATGGTATTCAGGGTTAGAGACATGAAAAGGAACCAAAGTGGAGAAGAATCATTAAGATTCAGCGATGTTATGCCAGCTAAGGTCAGTGGTAGGAAATGGAATGTGCACTCAGTGATCCTGAATGAAAAATACACAAATAACAGTGCCTGGTGGCCAGAAAAGATACACTTCTCATTTTTTGCCATTATCAGCAATAATCAGAAAATTAAATCGAGGCAATAAGCTTGTTTGAAATTGTATTCTCCCTCTGGGCTATTTTGAGTATTCCATGGAAATACAGTAGTGCATTTCTGACAAATATTGCTGACCATCAGTAATCTTAGTGGCTCAGACCATGTGAATGTGTAGCTGTAAACCTGCCCTTGTCCTTCCAGAGCTGTGTGGTAATTTCACATGGTTTTGTGGCATGGTTCACATTTGAATTATGAGCTCTCAGAAGTGACCTATACTAGCAGTGAGTTTGCTATGTACTTCCCTACCATTTGAAGACTGTACCCAAACATAGGCAAATGTTTGGAAAGGGTACACAAACATTGCAAATGTTTGGAAAGGGTACCCAAACACTGGCAACACTGAAGGAATGATGACATTCCTGGAACAGAGCCTGCTCCAGCAATACTTCTGCGAACACTTATTATATCCATGCTTTTTAGAGATGATGAAATTAAGTGTTGGAAGTGTGCACAATAAGGAATTGGTTCTGTAGTCAAAGAGTAACCCTCCTTAAAACTCAGATTTTGCACAAGGGTAGGTTCCAAAATATGTTTTTTCCATTCCACAAAACATATATTTTCCTTTTATGTTAAATATGACAGCTTAAATGAAATAAATTTTATTGTATTAATCATGAGCAAGCAAAAGAGTAACCATGCATCATTTAACTCCTATTCCAAGAATTAAAACTACTACTACTAAAAAAAAATAATGCAAGCTTACCTCCACCCTTTTCCTAGCACAGAACTGAATCCAGTCCAGATAAACACTGCAGAAACTAGCTCTTGTTATTCCTTGGAGACACGGAACATAATCTTCGTCTATGTTAATGTTAAACATTGCAAGGTCACGTTCAATATAATGCCACTTTGCATAAGGCTGCAGTATCTTTTGGATGGATTCGTCTTTTATCCAGTCAAGGATTTTGGGAGAACTTGCTGTAAAGTATATTATACTCTGTTGACAAAATGTGCAAACATTAGTCACTATATCTCTGATTAAAGCAGATATATTTTACACAAAAGAAAATAAATAGGACCACACTAACTGCCCATAATGGTACCTATTTTTCCTATTTTTTACTGCTTGGCATCATTGCTTCACAAAACTGTTCAAGTTAGAAGGATGATAATATATTGGTATCTAAATAGCAGACAACAGAAAAAGGAGTCATATTTTTAATACCCTTCTGCCTTATAGGAAAATTAATACAAACAATAGACTATAGTAGGAATACAGAGTTCCAGCATTCAAACATATTAATTACTGAATACTAGTGGAGTTCTAGAGTCTAATACCAAGAAGGTGATATGGATAAAAGTCGAGGCATATTTTGAAAAAATAGTAGTAGATGGTCACATGCTCAAAATAGGACTCTTTTTTCCTCCATGGACTTCCTGTTTTCTGGGCAATGAAGCTTTCCTAATTCTTAAACAAACAGTTCCAGCACAATTTAACCACAAAGGTGAGATCTGACAGATGTGTACAACACAAGTCTGAAAACTCCTGTTTTAATTGCTGTTTTCTTTCTGCATTTAGTAGCATCACTGCTTTTATTTGTTGATGAGGCCAGTAAAGAATAATGGATTATTTCTTATATGTTGGCTTAAGAAGCTGATAACTAATGTAACTGAGTTTGCTTTTAAAGCACCGAAGGAGGAGCAGCATTCAGCAGG